GTTAAGAAAGCAGTAAAAATTCCCTTCCTCTGCCTGGTTTTGTGATCAGTCATTTCCTTCCTACTGTGTTGTACAGGTCTGGTTTTCGTGGGTAGTGCTAAATATGGAGTCGCTATTTGAAGAAGACTCRCAGCTTCGCCGAGTCGTGGAGGGGGAGTTGGTTATTAATGCTTTAACTCCTGATCAGGCTTTGAAGGTGAGAGAACGGTTTACCCTCCCCATATAGAAAACTGCCCTTCTCTTGAATTGTTTAGTTTTACCTCCTGATTTATTTATTTATTTATTTATTTATTGCTAGGTCAAAAGTATAACTATTTAAGGCCTTGCCTGGTTGTTTTTTTGGGAGAAAATATAGCTCAGGCAAAGTTTCCTTTGTGTTTTTGAATGGTACATTTAAAGAGAGTAATATGTAAATGTCTAGTCTTAATATATCATGGTTTGCAGAAAACTTAATTCAGTAATTAGTGCTTTTATATGATTCTTCTATATGATTTCTCATGGATCATCTGAACATCCTACAATGTACAGTGGATTCATTTTAAAGCACTGAGATGGGAAGTGCAGATGGTTTATCTCACAGGCTGGAAAATATCTCTTTATGTCAGAGCAATTTTCAGATTATCTGAATTTYAGAAACATCTGAAACTTGGTTGCTTGTAGGTGTGTCCAAATTACCTTCCAAAACTTTCAGAACTGTTTAGCTCTCTCCCTCAAGAAGGCACAGAGAGTCAGGTGTGTTTCAACCATGACTGCAGTGTTATTTGCCCAAACTCAAAGTCTGCAGTGTTTTTTGCCCAAACTCAAAGTCTGGAGAGAAGCTAGTTGAAATGAAAGCCGTCTAGTCTGGAAGTGTAAATTTGGGACTGTCCTCCATCTCAACTGTTGCAGTATCTTTTGATGAAGAAGTTAAGCTGGAAACACAATGGGAACAGATTTTCTTGGGCTGCATCTCGAGCCTTTGGGAACTMGTGTGGAGAACACTTGTCCCTTGGTTTGTGTATCTGTATTTCCATGGAGAACAGTTGTAGGAGGGAACTGCAGTGAGATGCTCCTTTGAAAATGTTCTTTTTGCAGAAAGCCCAGAGCCAGCTGAAGTTGCCCATCGTGCCTTCCCTCCAGAGGCTGATGATTTACCGCTGGGCTCACCAGGCCCTGGCTACCCCTGCTGATCACCCTCTCATGCCACTAATCTGGCAGAAATTCTTCCTCCTTTACCTGCACCGACCAGGACCACAGTACGGGTGAGTTCATTGCTCTAACAGAACAACAAGCACAARTACAATATATTTTAAGTGAGGTTAGTAAATGCTTTGTGTTCATCTGAAAGCAGTGAGTGCCAGCAATTTAGTTAAAGCAAAGGTCATCTCATTTGCAGAGAAACCARTTTGATGCCTTTTCTTTTTCCCCCATTTTCTTTTTTTAATTTTTATTTTTTTTAGGTTGCCTGTAGACGGCTGCATTGGAAGAAGGTTTTTCCAGAGTGCAGCCCATGCTAACTTATTAAATGAAATGAAGCAGCGCTTGATAGAGGTAGCAGATTTYCACCATGCTGCCAGCAAAGCACTTAGAGTGGACAGTCCTGCAGATGGCAGTGACAGATCACCAGAGAARGGAGGCAGCTCCACAGATTACCTGACGTCCCCAGAACTGCACAAGGAGCTTGTCAGGTAGAGAAAAACCTTCCCACTTGGTCCTCMTTCAATTGCCCAATGACCTGGGCAGTTACTCAAACATAGGTTAGCTTTCTTTAATTGAGGAATGTGATCAAAAACTTGACTTGTTGAGCCAGCTGAGCAAAAGTGGACATGTTTGTTTGCCATGAATGTAGAGATGCCAGTGAGGGAAGTGTATCTGTGTGGAAGTACAGTGTTAGCAAGAACTGGGACTAAACTGAACATGGATTTGAGTCTTAGGAGGAGTTGCTATGTGTAGCAAATCATGTCAGGTGTAAGCTTTTGGAGCAGGCTCTAGAARAGCAGTAGGGCAAGAAGCCAGTCTTGCTCAAACACTTCTTTTTCTGCATTAGCCTTCTGAGTAGGATTATAGATGTAATTCCCTGACCTAAGAGATATTTCCTGTCAGGGTCCCGTGTGCTATTTAGAATAATTATTTCACTTTTTAAAAATTCATTGTGTTACTCTTGCCTGTTGCCCTTCATGTTTTCTAAATAGCATCTTTCCATTGCTAGTCTTTAACTGACACTTAGATGTTTCAGATGCCCCTAGATTAGTTCACTAAATTTTTGAACCGTGTMTGCTTAAAACATGACTTGTTACCTTAACTTGAACACCCAGAATCCCACTGCTGTGYAGCTTATGCTCTGCACATGCATGCAATTAAGTTTCCTGTTGATTTTTATTTTTCTTGCCTTTTTTCCTTCGCAGACTTTGTAATGTCTTTGTGCTGTGGTTAGAAGAAGAGAGCTTTCAGAAAGGAGACACCTACATTCCCTCCTTACCAAAGCAATACGATGCATATAGACTTGCTAAAATCATGCAGAATCAACAGGTGAAGTACTACCAACACTGGCAGTCTGAAATCAARATTCACTTCTCTTTGTAAAGTCTCTCTTGAGACTTTAGTGTCACTAATTTTTAATATGCCCGTGGCAAGTACAGTAGCTTTACAGCTCTAAATTATTTTTTGCTAAAAATCCTATGTCTTTATATTTAAATCAGAATTCAYGTGCAGTCTTCTTCCATGTGCTAATGAGAATGCAATCTTTACTCTGTGCAGTGTTATATCTATATCTGTGTTTGTGTGTCTCTGTTTTCCCGGAGAACTGTAGAGAATTATCTTAATTGGATCTTTAAATAACAAAGGCCTGGGAGCACAAATCTGCTTGCGTTCATGGTTTGTAAGAAATCTGGATAAATTAGTGTGTGGGAAGTGAATATTATTCTGCTCGTTAAGCCTTAGATAGTTAACAGGGCTTTGAGAGGGAGGCTTTGTAGAGGCTCATTTTGTGCTTCCACGTGTACTGCTGCTTTGCTCTTGGTCCTGCAGCRTATGTGAGTACTGAAAATGCAGCCTGCTTCACTCTCAATTGTASTTGCTCATGGCCAGGAAATCTGTTTTCTCTTGTTGCTTTTGAAAGGAACTGAGTTTTATTTGTCTCTACTCTTCCTCTCTCCTCTAGTCTGCTAGAATACACACTACGTGTGTCTGTCAGACTTCTCTAATGGTCAATAATGCTTTCCATGGCTTATCTGTATATATGATAAGACTTCTGCTTTTTTTCTGTGCTTTATATTCCTTCTTTTTTTTTTTCTCCCTGTTAATATATGTCTATGACTTAAACACATGCTCTAGTTTCATTTAATTACTTACTACCCCCAACTGCTGGGATGGGTTTGCAGTATGTGATAATGAACAAAGTGGTCCTAATGATTGGATTCTTTTGTGCCGTAGGATTTGTGGATGGAGTATGTCAACATTGAACTCATCCAGCATGAGTTTCAGGAAGCTCTGAACCTCTGGCTCCAGCTTCAGCTGGAATCACATACGGCCTCTAGTACCTCTGCAGAGCAAACGGATTTCACCAACCCTGTATCAGGTGGGAGATAAGGATAACATTAACCAGCCGGGGGAAAGAGTTATTAACAGGCAGAAGTCTTGGTTCCTTAAATAATGTAGGGATGATATCAGTAAAACTGTGAATACAATTGGTGTTTTCTACTCATATATAGGTTTTTATGATGTTCTKGCTAAGATGCCCATGTAGGAGGCTGGATTTTTTTGGTGCAAAATTCAGGAATGGCTAGAGAGTAATGGGGAAGCGCCCTCAAGATTGCTGCATGCAGAGTATGCTCCAGACTGGCTGATTTTTCCTTGCTTTTTTGGAGAAGGAACTTGCAAGCAAAGAGTAATATTGCTGAAAAGAGCAATATTGTTACTATTTAAGTTTTGTTGTCTGTTCTCTGTTCTCTTGTTTTTTGCTGAKGGTGGCTTTACTTGCTGCTCTGTGGCATTATAGCACAGTGAAAGGATTGTTCTAGCATCAAAAGGGATTTAGAGTCATGGTAGGTTTATTAAGGATAAGGCAAAATGGGATTTTTTGAGGGGGGACTGATTAAAGGAGGGGAAGAAGGAAGAAAAGGAAACTGGAGCAGGATTGTAGATGAATTGGCATTTGAGCAAGGAAATTGAATGGGAACAGCAGGAGGAAAGGACAGTCATGGAAAGAGCCTGTGCTTTGAGAAAAATAATTAGAGCTGGTTATGCTGGAGAAGTAGGAAATCGAAAGAGAGAAAATACAGGAAACCAGGAAAAGCAGTGGGGCCTGGGCTCCTAGTGCAGCTACTTGAGGAAAATGAACTGGGTGAAATAAACTTGATAAACGCAAACAGATTGATTAAATGACTATAAAAAGTGAGGAATCCTGGGAGTATAAATATATGGCCATTGTTAAAAATATTTCATGGAGGAAAAAGAAATCATAATTTTCTTAAATAATTTTGTCTTTTTTTTTTTTTTTTTTTTTTAGCCAAAGAGAGAATAATGAGTAATTTGAAGAAGTTTGATATTCCCAAGCCCCCTCTTCCACTGCAGCCGGTGAAAGCTCCCGTGCCAGTTATTTCCTCTGGCAGTCTAGTGAGTCAGAAAGAAGCGATTCAGCTCATGCGCACGGACCTGAACCTCTTGCAGCGACATGCCAAGTAAGACCTAGCTTTTTATCTTTTATTTATTTTTACTCCTGTCCAGCTAGTGTTTCTAGCTGGGTTCCGCTGCAGTTTCAAGCAGCTGTGTTTGTGGTGTTAGCCTAAGCCTAGCAGTACTTAATTTCATTTTTGTATCTTCCTTGGTTATCCTGTCGTTATTCAGCTCTTTTAATCGACTGCACAAGTTGTATCCAATGACTGAAATATCTCCCTCAGCTTGGGTCTAACATCTGCAGTTTCTTTTTTTATTTGGAGCGCTTCATAAAGCAAAGCCCCTGCTGCAGCCTAGATTTTTCTTGACAATGAGGTTAGTTTTAAACAACCTCATTAATGGGTGTCTGAGGCAATGGAAGCCTCCGGAGATAAATCTGATTTCTGGCACTGCTGGCTTTGTGTATGGAAGAGTGCTTCGTTTTTAATGATCTTGCTATGGGAATGCAGCTGAAGTATCTTCAAAGTTTCAAGCAGAGTAAATGAATGTCTCTGAGCTAGTGTCACCCAGTGTAATTTGTTAGTAACAATATTAAAAGAAAAAAGCCCTGCAGAGGCTAAAAGGGTAGTATCTAAATGTTTCCAGCAGCAATTTTCAGTGGGCTTTTTTCTCTGACTGAATCATTCCGTTCAGTCTGTCTTTGTCTGATGGGAAAAAAATGTATCTTCCACAGTAGGCAATCTGTTTAATTTCATGCCAGTTTGTAATAGAATAATTAAAACAAAAAATCTTACGCAGACTTGAGTGTAGTTGTGTTTTTCTTATGAAACCGCTTGTTATTACTTTGAAGCGCTGTTGCTTTGAAGCTTAACTCCGTTTCGTTTAAAGATTTTTGGTAACTTTAGCAGTTTTGGTTTCCAGAGCTGCGGCCGTGTGGGAATCACAGCACGTGGCCCTCGACGGCGAGATCCTGGACACGATACCCAGGCTGTTTGTGAACCGGGAAGAGCAGGTCACCCTCCACGTGGAGTGCAGGGGCACGTCCAATAAAGGCTGCCAGGGAGCAGCTCATCTCACAGTCCAGGTTAGAGACGTGGCTTTGCCTTTCATTTTCGGACCTAAACAATGAAATTTAAATCATTGAATGGTTACAGGAATGAGTTTATTGGATGTAGTGCTGCCACATACCCTTGAGTACCTCATTCATTGCTCAAAAGGAGTTGCAGATGATCTGCTGAAGACTTAGTCCTTGTATAAGGCTTGTAATTCTCAGCTTAAATTGCTTCCTGGTGTGTGAATGGAGGAATATGTTCCGTGATGGGCATGTAAGTATGAAAGTGTTCGTAGGAGTGTTTGCATGTTGCTTAGTATGTGACTGTCTTGATCCTCTCTCAGTTTTAATCCTTGTGAATTAAAAGCATTAGTTAAGACATTAATCATATCGTCATGTGATAATTAAWTAGGAACGTGACCAAGAATTGTGTGCCTGGGTAGTATGTACTAAATCCGATCAAAATTCTTGGGGAAAACAGTCTGTACTCTGAGCTCTTTGCCAGGCTTTGACTCATTATTGCAATTAGTTGCAGCATGGGAAGAATTGTAGCAGAAGATGCTATTCTGAAATGAATACCTTTTCTCATTTAGTTTGAAGGGAAGCACAAAAACGAAGCAGTGAGCCAGCAGCTTCATGCTTTGCGTAAAGAAGTGAGACAACTGCAAGCAGAAGCCACAAAGCCACCTTCTCTGGGTGTTGTGGAAGCAGCAGTACATRTGGAAAACTTTATAACGTAGGTTGTTTGGACACTGTTTTAGGCAGTGTTGTTTTATACTTAGTTTTCTGTGTGTTGGAGTTAAAATGTGGAACTTGTTTGTATGCTTCTGGTAATGAGCATCATTTTGGCTGGACAACGGAGTCTGGATCTGTGTTTGTAACGAGCTTCTGAAGGAGCAACTCCACATATTTTCAGAAGAGGTAACTCTGGTCACTCCRCCTAAACAGGGCACCTAATGCTGGCTTCTACCTCAGTTTATTGTACTGTGCCATKAAACAGCCATTCTAACCCTGCAAAAACAAATGCTGTAATATCAGGGACACTCTGTAAAACTTGAATAGCAAATTTGAACCACAGCTATAGCCATGAGCCTTTATCCTTTTACTAGTGAAGAAGGTAGTTTTGTGATGAGAGTTACGGACTGAAGCCATCTCAGCAACTTTGCGAAAATGTTAAGTAGTGTAATGGAGAAGGACCATATGATCTGACTTTTGGGGTGAATTRATAGATTAGCCCAGGGCCTTGTCCTTCTTAAGGGCTTTATCCCAGCTCCTAGTTGAAGTCAAGAAGATCAATAAAAATGTTGGAAAACTTTCTGATACCCTACAAGGCTTACTCACCTGGTAGAACAGTACTGTTATAAATCAATGACTATTTCTGCTTGTTCTTTCTCATAAACCTGAAAAATTCTGTACATGATCAAGTTCTTAGGATTTATATATGTGGGATTCCATGTTTTTCTAATGCTGTTTTAATGCAATTCATTCAGACTCAGGCTGCAGAGGGCTTGATTTGAGCTTAATAAACGTTCCATTGGCAATGTGATAWTAAAGATTGTTTCTGTTTTTATACTTTCATTACAGAGTCTTTTATGTTAGCAACTTAAATGATCTGTTCTTATGGTACAAATGTAGTGTAAGCACATCAGTAAGCACATGACCAGTTATTTGAGGGATTTGAAGGAATAACTATTTATTTAATTTGAACTACAGTATGAAATGTCTTTGATCACCTTCTAACTCTGAAAGGTTTGACGGTGTCACTTAAGGTAGTGAAATTCCTTAAGATAAACCCCACTTGATTAACATTCAAGCTTGAAAAAAACATTTTAATAGCTGCAAACTGAGAAGAACCTCCTTTTTCTTATTACAGATGGATTTCCATACTTGTCTTTAATCTTCCTTTTTTTTCTTTTTTTTTTTTTTTTTTTTTTAACAGGGCCTTAATAAATATCTACAAGGTGCAGCCCCTGCCTGCAATTCAGAAAGTTGGGATTAGCTTGTTTTTTACGTTAGTGGAGTATGTGTGTGATGAAACCCAGCGCAACCCTCCCACGAGGCAGTTTTTCTCTTCCTGCATTGAGATTCTGGGCCAAGTRAGTTTCTTTTCTCTCTAGTTTTGCATGCCTAACACTGGCACACATAGACCTTCAATACCAGCAGGCTAAAACCTTCAGAAGCGAAAAAAAAATCACTTTTGAGCTTGTACTCCATTCCTATCTGGGCTTATTGCATAACATATGTCGCTTGGGCAAGAAGTGCAACCTTAAATTCTATRAGTGCTCTAGAAAAAAGAAAAAATAGCATTAGTCCTTGTTTTGGGTCCAAATTGTTGCTTTGATGTCTTAGATGCTGTTTGTTTCCTTGTGTAACTGTCCTTATTTACCTCTTAGGGCTGAGCTGCAGAAAGGAATAGTCATAGTTGTGTTTATATTTATTTTTTAGTAAAGTCAGGCAGTGCTGCGGAAATAGAGATTCGTTTTCTTAGCCCATGAGGGGAAAGAGAAAAAAAAAAAAGGCTCTCTAGGTGTTTTTACACTGCCTTTGTGCTACTTGTGAGTGTGCTAGGTGAGTGTGATTATTTTACATATAAATTTTGTGGAATAGAAGTATTTAATTGAAACTGGTAATATACGCTTTATTTTTGGGAGCTGTTTTTGGGGGGAAAACAAAAAATGTTTGTCCTGACAGAAATCTTCTGGAGATGTTTTTCTAGTAAATTAATTCTGGGTAAGTARTTTGAGTAAATTCATTCTGGGCTGTTTTTGTCTTTGTTCCTGCTTCCCCAGGTGTTTATCAGCGGGACCAAATCGGAGTGCAGGCGCCTTCTCCAGRCAGTCCTCCAGAATCGAAGGCTCTGTACTCTCCTCTCTCCTTACTTCACTCCTGTTGCCTCTCCTGGTGAGTTTGTGACTTTGTATGAGAAAGTTGTGGCCTTCCTGAGCGAGGATAACAGTGATGTTGTCTTCATGCTGCTGACAAAGGTAAGATGCTCATGAATTCTCTCTCTTTTGCTGGTCTGAGTGAGATAGGTCTAATTTATGGGCTATACAGATTAGCCCAGYTTACAAGTTATAAGATTTGACATTGGTGCTAAAATGTGCAAATCTACCTGTGTTTTCTGAATTGGAGACCAGATAAAGAGTAGTTTTGTGGAAACGGGAACTTTTGTGAACAGGCTGTAAATAGGTGCTAAATGCCCATTTTGAGAGTTATCTTGATTTTGAGCTGGAGATGATGAGATGCAAATATATATAGTTAATACAGATCTCATATGAAAGGAACTTTTTCCCCCTGTTTCTTCCGCTCTGTCTTCTACAAGGTTTTGTGACTGTTATTTGAAGTGCTAAAGCTTTTAACTTACAAATGCTCCCTCCTCTGTTCTAGTTTGACCTTACACAGTGGTTAAGTGTTAGCAAGCCACCTCTGTCTGAACGTACCAGGCTTCTGGAATCTATCCACTTGGCTCTCAGTGCATGTGGCCTCGAACCCGAAGAGGAGATTTTAATGCCATTCAATATCTTCTGCAAGCATTGGACTAACCTCCTCCAGTATCAGTTCCCTGATCACTATAATGACTTTTTAAGAATGTTCATGCAAAGTGAGTATCTGAATCGATGTSCTCATTGATGTCATTGTATTTTCAYTTYTTTTCCCGTTTTTTCATTGTTCRTCATCTCTTTTATACAGATACTACCTGCATTCATATTTTTAGGCCAGAAAAGAAAGACAGCAACAAACAGAATAAATTACTTCTCCTCCCTCCCCCTTAAGTTTCTATATGGACTTTTGTGTGCGTACTATAGAATACATTTTTATTAGACATAATTTAGCTTTTCTAGAAAGCATTTTTTTTTCTTCACAGACTGAAGTAGACACATAGGTGCTAAGCTTTTCAGCCCATGTTACAGGAGAAGGACAAAGAAGAGCTTTCTATGAATGGGAGCAATTGATAATGATGCCACCATCTGCAATACAGTCTCCCTGGTCTTGAGCAGGCTTCAGTGTCAAATCGGGAGATCTTCTTAAGACCTGGGACTGATACTGGAGTCTGCTCTACACATTATATTTGACATTAGGTTCTACCTATGGTCTGCTGTGCCTCTAAAATGGGGACACGACGCTTCCTTTCTGTCAAACTATAACAAGCAGCAACTATCTCCTGGTGTGCTTTTGTAGCCAAGGATTTACTAAGTACTTGGGAAACTTTGCAGGAAGGAGTTATCTRTCATTCCTTTTCTTGCATCTATGTTACCTGGGTTTGGGAATTAGGTCTCTCTTGCCTCTAAACTTGGGATTTTCAAGCTATTGCCTTTTCTTTTGTAGTTGGTAGCTCCTATTTCAGGCTTCTCTAACTTATATTGAGGAAAAAAATAATCTCCTTACCATGTCTTYGATAAAAAACCATTATTTTCTCTTTCTCCTAAGGCTCTTCAGAGCAGCTCTTGAGCCCTGACTGCTGGAAGGCATCGCTGGAAGCCCTGGGCTGCGGCTCCTCGGGGACTGAACAGGGAGGTGTCAAGAAGATCGATGCTGGCAGGAGCCCTGTCCTGCAGGAGGGAGCTCTGCTCTCTGCAGAACAGGTAGGCCCCTCTCTGCTTGATTAACCCCRTTTTGCAGCCAAAACAGCTGCCCTCCGGGGACAAATAATGCTGCCCTGCAGGCTTTCTCCAGCTGATTAACAACATTTTGCATCTCGCAGGTCAGAGAGACGATAGAGTGGCTTTCTGCCTCTTTCTGCAAACTCCGGCTGGCCTCGGTGGACTTCAGGACCTTCGGGCTCTTTTCAAAGTGGAGCCCTTACGTGCCCGAAGTGAACACGTTCCTCAAGTATCTTAGTAAGCGGCTCGTAGACGCCGAAGTGGTCAGTTTAGGCGAGGAGCCTATTGGCAGTAACAGGATTCTAACAGGTAACGTGGTAGAAGGTAATGAGTTGAAGAAAGAAACTCGTCCTGTTGTTGATTTCTTCTGCTGAAAACAGTTTTGTTTAAATATACAGTAAAACCTTAACTGAGAGAGTGTCTGCAGGGATGTTGGTGGCTGCTGAATTTTACCTTGTTTTGATGTTTGATTTGAAGTAAATAGCTTAAACTCCTTTACTTTTAGTATATACAGCTTTAAAACCTGCAGAGTTGGAAAGGTATATTTAAGTTAACAATGAAAAATACTTGCTGTTCTGTGGTATCTGAAGTTAAACCATTTGTTCTGTAGACTTAAATTAATAGCGATCATATTACTTTATTTTTTTAAAAAAATCAGAACATATTTTTAAAAAATGCAGAACCTGGCAGAACTTATTTAGTATTTGAATAAGCAAAGGTCACTTTATCTGAGTTTGGAAAAGCCTGATTCAGAGCTTATTATTATTTTTTATGCCTTGTTTTCTTCTAGCATTGCAGTCCTTATATTCGATCATCGTTGGACTCTTCAAGCCATGGATACTGGTGTTAGATAAGGAAGATGCAAGGTATATACTGATGCATTTAAAATTTGTTTTTTTTTTTCCTAAAGTAAGAACTTTAGCCCTGTAGAAATGAAGTGACGTTGTCACCTGATTTTTTTCCAACCCGTAATTGGGTTGGAAAAAAACTTTAAATAGCTGGTAACCTTTAATTTAAATAGCTGTTACATGTGTCATATCCTTAATCGTTATGAAGCTAAATCTTGCTTAGTCAATTTAGAGTTATTTGTGYCTTCCATGCAGATAACTCTATATTGTAAAACAAACAAACATTCTCCCCAAGCTCCCAAGTAAGTCCAACCTCAAATGCCAGTAGTGTGTAAAGAGACATCTGATCAAATCCRTCCCATGATGGCCTGCTGGCAACCGTCTTCTCTACCTCTGCTTTCCCAAGAAGAGTTATTTCTCTTGTTTTACACTTAAATTAAACCTTCTTTCAAAGCCAGATGCCTTTTGAGCTGTGAATGTACCTGCAGCACTTAATGGGAAGGTTCACTGCTGGTGATAYGTGCTGACGTTCAGAAAGTTCTGCATTTTGAGCTGTAATGCAATTATGAAATATGAAGCAAGCCATCTCTCCTTGATACTGCAGACCTTCACTGTGACATTGAAGTGCCCCCCTATTTCAGAAAGGGATAGTCCTAAAGAGCTGTGTTTGAAAAGATTGCTGATAGCCCATTCTGTATTTGATCTTGTATATTTTACAGTATTTAAATTGTCTAAGCGTTTTTGGTGGTAAATCAGCTCTGAAATTTATATTGCTTCACTTCCTCTGTTTTCTCCAGTAACCAGTCCTGCTACCCTTGGTTAGAGAGTGACACTACTGTGGCTTCCAGCATGGTCTGCTCGTTTACAGACTGCATCGAGCTTTTGCACGAGAGCTTTAAAGGTGAGTGAAGTCCACACTGCTTCGATTTAGTTGCACTTTTTGTTCTAGCTCAAAACATGCATTTTGAGATTAGGGACAAGAGGAGGTTTTTCCATTTGTTAGGAGTTTTTAGCTGAGAGGAGGACTGCAATGGTACCAATAGCATATTTCYTAGTCTTAAGAAAACAACTGAGTTTTTGCATGAGCAGACAAAGTGGCTCATAGAGGATGTCAGGTGGTAAAGTTGATGTGAAGAAAAGCGAAGCAAATTGGGCTCTGGTGAGAAGTGCATGACTGCTCCATATGTAATGTGCTCTTGGGTAACATACCATCATCTAAGAGTCGAGATTCACTAATTCTTCTTAAAACATATGTAAAAGTTGTGAAATCCTACTAGAAAGGAATGTACTTTGTAACTTGCAGCTATTTGTTGTCTTGAAGACTGGTCTTTTTCCTGTAATTAAGTTTTCCTGCAATTTTATCTGGTGGTAATTAGACTATTTCCTTTTGATTTAGATAAGCTGTTACCAGGCCATCATGGGGCTCTCTGGTTGCATCTAATGCATTACTGTGAATGTTGCACAGCCCCTAAAATGCCAGAGTTTATTCTCTATCATTTCCATACGGAATTCAGAAGACTTCCATGGAAGGAAATGCACCCAGACCGGATACTTATGGAAGAGTTCTTCAAAGTGAGTACCTAGCACGTGTTGCATTAAGCTCTTAGTCCTTATAGTCCTTGGAAGTAATGGAGGGCCGGAGACAGTCCTTTAACCAGTAAGTTTTTAAAGTTTCTTGCACAATTCAAGCTCATTTTGGGAAGAAGTGTTTATATTTGTGAAGAAGTGTTACTGGATCTTATACAAAGTTGTGGAGAGCTGTAGGGCAGACCTTGGAGTCTGTCATTGCTGTGTCTAAATGTCTCATTCTATGTATTAAATATATGCATAGTTGGAGTTCATACTTCATTATTCCCGTGCTGTTCTCATAACACTGTACAAGGTAGATAAAGGCTGTGACAGATCAAGAACTGAGGCTGATAAGACTCAGGTGATGCAGCGAATGAAACTGTAGGCCACTTGACTATTATATTAAAAATATGGCATAGCTTGACATAATAATATATCTGGTTTTGGAATCATTTGGGGCTGATTCAAATTTCAAACTTGTTAACAAAAATTTGTATTTTGATTTTATACGAGCAACCTGTTAACTGCATCAGAAAATACCCATCTTCTCACAATTGGAGAGATTTGGTTTGTAAGTTCAAAAGTGGCCTTAGCTCCATGTTTTGAACTCTTGCTACTATAGCAGGTAATTGCATGTCTGTGAATTGTTACTTCTGATGCAAAGATCTGCTGCTAATTATTGAGGCCTCAATCCCATAAAGGCTTGTACAGATTCATACTATTTTTTGTGGCATTTTTTAGAAAAGAAATAATAATAAAAAGATAAAAAGAGAAGAAATAATAATAAGAAAATAGAAATAGAAAAGAATAGAAAAGAAATAATAATAAAAAGATGCAATGGTGCAACTTAATAGACTGTTTCTTCCTAGCTTACAGTAGCTTGGTGTGCAGCACTAGTTTGGGAGGGATAGGAGGTGACATGAGGGACAGAAGCAATGGAGAGTGTCAGCCTGCTCATCTGTTGACCTGGAATGGTGCTATGGTTTCTTATGTGGTCAGGGATCTGAAAAGTATAGATTTGTTTTGACTTTACACCAGTTTGTGTTTCTCTCTTTTCTTTTTCCTTTTTTTTTTTTTTTTTTTTTTTTTCCCCTCTGCTAGGTTGAAAGAGGCAGCCCCAAGAGTTGCTTCTTATTTTTGGGTTATGTTTTATGTGAAATAAACTGGGTCAGTGTCCTGTCTGATGCCTGGAATCCCAACCCTCATCCCGAGACTCACAACATGATTGTCTGTTTGCTGTATATGATGGTCCTGTTGGCGAAGGAGGAGCAGCTTATAGGCAGAGAGGTAAGTTTTGTGTAGGTTCCTATGTRTCTGTGAAGAACAACACTTTGCCGACATGGAGACAGGCTGTGACTTCTTCCTCACCTGCAGGGTTATTAACACAGGAACATTTTAGCTGTTGTAGAGCAGTGTAGAGCACTCTTGTGCAGCCACCCTGATGTTGCCCTTATCTTTGTCCCCTACAGCTTCAGGATAACTGCACCTTTTATTAAGGACCTAAAGCTAAGCCAGGCTTTGTGTGGTGTGGACTTAGAGCTCCTATMACCCAGAACTATAAAACAATAAACTTGGAAATGTCTCTCCTCTATAGTTGAAATAGGCTTTATATTTTTATAGCTGCCTAAGAGGAAAATATCCATTCATCTGCTTTAACATGTTTTGTGGGAAGTTATTTATAACTGTCATTCAGGCCTCAGAACTGCCTCTGCAAACATTTATATCTTACCATAAAGTGCACCCCTTCTAACTCAATATGACATATAGACTGTGATGACATGTCACAGTGATATAATGTCTTGAAGACCAAATATGTCTTTAAGAAGCCTGTCAGTGTCTGCTTGTGACAAGTTATTCGGGCAAGTTTATTGCATCTCTTGAAACTGGTGGAATTTTCTTTTTCTTGCTCTGAAGACAGATTTCATCGTCTCTGGCACCTCAGTACTTGTCCCATTTACGGTTGCATTGCAATATTTGCCTGAGGAAGGGAAAGAAAGTGTGGGATTAAGGACCAGCAGCACTGGGTGTTACAATGAACTTCCCAAACGCTGCTTTTGTTAAGAGTTCTGTATAGGTGAATCGTGCAGATGCAGTGTGATTCAATGCACTGCTTCCAAAGGGRCTGGGAATCTCCAGGAAGTCCCATTTCACATCTGCTTTCTTCCATATGCAGTGTCTTCTGATTTCCAGGGAGGCCCTGAATTGTCAAGGTGCAACATCTTATTCCAGCTTAGGAAAACTACTGAAGTTCATGGGTAGCAGACTGGTTTTGCCTGAAATGTTTTTGCTTTTAAGAAGATTCTTCAGCTTCAAAAGCTTCCTATATGTATTTATTATATGAGTCTTGGGAATTTCTTTCTAACCTCCAGGAAAGTGTTTCAGCTGGCCTGCTGTTACTCTCCTTTTTCCTGCTATGATGCTCCTGTGGCAACTTGATGTAAATGTTAAACTTATATCTGAGCCCTATATTCCAGGATGCTGTAGGCTGCTATTGGTCCAGCTCAGGATGTTATTTATGAGAAAGTATAACTGAGGAGTTGCCAGGTTTGGTAGATAATTCATGAAAACGGTGGAACAATTGTGAGAGTACTTCCAATATTAGGTAATGTAWATGTTCATTCAAAACAACAGAGAAGGTGGAGCTTAAGAGACATGTCTTTAAATCTTCAGGAATCACCAGTAATTAATCTCCTTGGACAGACCAGCTCCCTCCCTTGGCAACTTGTGGGCATCTCATCTTACCAGAGCATCATCAACTACTGCAACAGCCACTATCCCCCTTCTGTTATCCTTGCCAGGGATGCAGCAGCTGAACTGGTGGTGAAGCTCCTGAAAATATCAGCAGGCTTTGGCGCATCTTCAGACAGCCATATCCACCTTGTAAGTTGCACTGGTTTTGCAGTGTCTCTAAGCTGTCTTAGTTGTTTGCAAGGTCCATCGTTTTGTGCAAGGTATATGTAGAACATGAAAATAATAAGCATGATTTTTTAAAAAAATTCATTTTGATTTTGGTTAACAGGATGCAACACTGAAATGCCGAGCGTACATTCATCAAGTGGTTCAGTTTCTTAGCACCTTAGAACAAAGTGGAAAGATTACCCTTGCAATTTTGGAGCAAGAAATGGCCAAGCTGCTAGATGATATAATCATCTTTAATCCTCCAGGTTTGTATTGATAAGATGACAAAYTGTTTTAAAGCAGTCAAGATCCTTCATTCTAGCACAAGGGTCTTTGAGCTTTGGTTAATTATGTAATTGTATTACTGTAATGTCTCTGTTATGGGTAGGACATGTTGTTTTAGGTAAACATGTGAGCACAAAACAAAACTATGATCCTCTGTAGAGCTGTCAAGGGGGCTAGGGCCAGCAGAAACATTTTTATGACACACAAAACTGGCCAGCATGTGGAGTTCCTAGTACAAGAGTGTTAGATCTATTGGAGACAGATTTTCCCCCAAATTATTGGTTTGAAGGTGAAGAATCTTTAAAATATAAATTTTGGAGGGTTTCTTTGCTGTCAGAGTCTTTTTTTTTTTTTTCTCCACCCAAAAATGCTTTCAAAGGCACACACCCTGTCTGAGTAATTCTAAACCACTGTAACCATTGTAAACCACAAGAAAACTTGCAGTATAAGAGTAGAGAAATTATACTGGTGTATGTAAGTAATACAGTGTGTCCACACCCGCAGGGATTTTATTGACCCGATGGGCTTTTTATGCATTAGGCTACAGCAAGGTATGGCTTCAAAAAATTCTAGGTTTGAACTGCACTGGAATTGGCAGATAGTATAAAATGTGTGAGGCTATTAGAAAAATCTCAAGGCTTAGCTTGGTTATATTTGAATTAAATGATCAGGAGCTTGGTGATTTAGCTCTGAACTGTGCTTTAAGTTGTAGTTTTGTACCTGCATTTTCTTGGGAGACAGCAAACTTACTTTTACTATTCACTTTATTTGCAATGCAGTAGTGCTGAAAGTCCCTAACTGAAAAATAGACTTAGATGTCCTGAGTGCAGTACACCCTGTTGGGTATGTTATGAATTAAATTGCGAAGGAAATAAGCTGTTAGGAGCAAGTGTCTTATTGCAGGTATGTAATGAAAAAGTGGCTTTCCCAGGACCTAAAGAAATGTTTGGTCATGAAGTTGAATTTAAGTTGTCTAGGGTCCAACTTCCGTTTACTGAAATGGTTCATTATTAAAACCCAGACAGCAACATGTKCCCSTGAGGAAGAGCTTGTTTGGKGTGAGGGTGCCCAGCCCTGGCCCAGGCTGCCCAGGGAGGCTGCGGAGGCTCCTGCTCTGCAGATCTGCCAACCCGCCGGGATGKGACCGGGTGCCCCGAGCTCTGGGTGTCCCTGCTGGAGCASGGGSTGSACTGGRTGRKCTCTAGAGGTCCCTTCCAACCTCAACCATCCTGGGATTCTTACCCGTGCCTTTCAGACATGGACCTGCAGACGCGCCACGTGGCCCTGAGCAGCCTCTTCGCGGAGACGCTGATGATGCTGAACAACTCGAGCGTGGCCACGGCCGAGTCGCTGCGGGGCAGCCTGCGCAAGTGGGTGGACAGCAACGTGCGGGGGCTGCTGGCCATGCCCCTGCTCACGGCCGCCTGCCAGAGCCTGGCCTCCGTCCGCCACATGGCCGAGGCCACCGAGGCTGCTATCACGGCCTACTTCAACGCAGGTAGCGGCGTGTCTGGTGTCTTGCTTTGGTGCCCCTTCAGTAGGASTCACCTAGGAGTCCCTAACTTCATGCTGCCTGGTAGCTTGAACTGGATTTTAGTTCATCTCTCAAAACTGGGGCTCTTTTCTCTCTGTTTGTTGACTCTCAAYGTTATGTGCAATGTGAATGAACTGTTCACAGCTGGATATGGAGAAGTCAGGTCGTTGTGCCTTGGATTTGTTTTTAACTGTTAAGCTTGTTATCTTGGAAACTAAATTGCTTGATTCTCTGTTAAGACTGAATTCCTCTCTGTGAGCTCTGTGCTCTTTTTATAGAAAAAGGTTTTTAATTTTTAAGAGCTGTCCCAAGAAAACTAAAGAGATTTGTGTCCCTTCCTTGAAGGGTTCTGTAGACTGGTTTGGGCAAGTGGCTGAAATACTCTGTGTAAATCTCTCAAATTCTGTGGCTTTTAATTGTTTTCCCGCATAAACCATGTAGATAATGATTTCTACCACATTCCATTTAATAGCTTGTAAGTTCACCTGAAGGAAACAGTTAGAATTCCATTGTTAAAAAATTAAAATTTATTCCTGAGTTAACCCTGGCAAARCATCTCACTTTGACCTGCACTACAATAAACCAATCTCCACAGATMTTTTTTTTTTTTGTAATCTCCAGCCATCACAGTGGTGACGCAGATGGATTATTTGGAACACAGAGCTAAAATGGTTTGAAATCTGCAGTTTACAGGAACACAGCACTATAGTTTTGGTTATTTTTTGCTAAGCACTGCTTGCTTATGCTCTTTATTTCTCCTTCTGCTTTGTTTTTAGAGTCTCCTCATCACCAGGATTTAGGCTGGGGCCCTATTCTTGCCTCTCTCCAAGTTCCTGAGCTAACCATGGAGGAGTTCCTGCAGGAGTGTCTGTCTTTGGGAAGCTACTTGACCCTATATGTCTACCTGCTGCAAAGTCTAAACACTGACCAGACACTTGCCAATGAAATGAAAACCCTGCAGACTATTAGTAAATGGCTGGAGCAAGTGCATCCAAGGTACAGACCACCAGTCTGCTGAATGTGCCTTGATTTTTCCAAGTAAGGCAGCAGTTGTRCAAGACACTATAATGTGGCTGCTGRATCCTCCATGTCACAAACACTGTGATGTGTCCCAGTGCCAGAAAAYGATGTGAGGAAATGCCGGGGGAAATTTGTCTGCTTGAACACCTCTTATTTTCCTTTTGGTCAGTTTTCAATCAGAAATGCTTGTTTTCAATGGCAGCCTGGATTTATGCTCAGTTAAAATTACTATGAACAAATCCTAAACCACTGGAAAGTGGGATACACTTTCCAGTGGTTTAGTGGGATCCACTTYAGTGGGATCCACTTTCCAGAATGTCCACTAGGTGGGATAGGATATATGCTAAATACTCAGAGTGATATGTTGAAGGTCTGATGTTCATAGCTGTGCAAGGCAGAATGTCAGGACCCCTGAACAAAATCTTACTCTTGTGTGTGTGGTTGAGTGCCTAAAGTTAGAGATCTGATTTCCTGTAAAGGTTAAAGTGATAATACTTTATATTTACAATCTGTAACAATGGTATTTGCAGACTGCTGACATTATTGCCAGAATTCAGAAGAACTTGGTGAATGTATTTGTATTTTAATGCTGATAATGCTCACATTTGCTGAGAGAGAATGTTTTAGGAAAACGTATGTTCCCCGTGTTTTTGGAATTTGAAGGATACCTTGGCTGATGCTGGTAGCTTGCAGCTTTAGGAAGTTCATTGCAAAAGTGGGAGAAAGGAGCCAGTTTAGACCCTCAAACCTGGGATGCCCGGCCTGAGAGAAACAACTGGGTAGAGCCATCTGAGCATGGTCTGGTGCAGAAAGCTGGTGCTATATGTAGAAAACCTGAGCTCATTAACTGCAGCTGTTTGGGGAGGAATTAAAAATATCTCAAGGGAACTTCACGTTGTGTTTTGCTCAGCAGAAGCTTTCGGCGTTTCCTGTTTTAGACGTATCAAAAGTGTYAAGTGGTGTTGGAAATAACAACTGGTGCTGCCTAAGGTGCTTTAAAGATAAGTGAACGAAGGAGTGGAGATCCAGCTTCATTTCTTTTAGTCGAAGTTCTGGATAGGCTGAAATGCATTTAGGACTGCARTATCATTAATTCTTAGATTTAACCTGAAAGGAAGTGTTATTCTTTGTCTCTTAGAGACTGCTAAAACCTGCTGTGTTCTGCACCAAGGTCATAACAATGAGAGTTGCAGCTGCACCTTTGGGGGACTGATAAACTAAGATGAACTGTCACTAACATGTCACCTGAACTCTTCACAGGGCTAATGGGGAGATTTTAACCTTTATACTTCTGCCTTTATTTCTTTTTAATCCACCCAAAGCTCASCGAAGGAGGAGGCGAAGCTGTTCCTTTGGTGGCACAAAGCCATGCAGCTCTCCCTGGTTCAGCTGGAGCAAGACGATGCCATCGTCATCGAGTCTGTCCTCCGGACGCTGCTCGCGATCCAGGGCAGGCAGGGTCAGCTGGCTGAGGAGAGACTGACCTCTGGCATTCTTGGTGCTATTGGGCTGGGCAGGAGGTCACCGTTGTCCCCCAGGTGAGGATTTGGGGCTTCAATGAGTTCGTTGGGTCACTGCGAGTTGTCGCATTGCAAGAGCTGCAGCCTGGATCCAGGCTGTGGAGAGCAGTGCTGAAAGCTGCTCTGAATCAAGGCTGTTCCCAAACCTGTTAAGTAACTTAGCCCCAAGCTGCAGTGAGTTGTAGTAACTGTAGTGAGTGTGATTTTGGCTCAGTTTCCATCTCCAAGTTTGTAGGTAGACTGTTTGTTATAGGAAATTCCTCTTTTAACCTCATCTGTAGAACACTGCTCCARTTTGCGTGGCAAGTTTTCTGTGTGAGTATTGTGCACTCTGTCTTTTCCATCTTAGTCATGAGGTTTTAGAAGATGTTTGAGAGATGTTCAAACAATACATGCTTGTTACTGTTTCCTTTGTAAAGAGATGGAGCAAACTTGGCTCTGAGATGCTGCAGTGGAAAGAGTGCCAAGGAGAAATACGTAAATGCTTGTAGGACACAGTCCACATAGTATTTAGCTTTATAAAGACCTCCTGGGATGTAATCCTGGCATTGTTGGAATTACTCTGGAATTTTACTGTTCCACTCATCTTTGGATTTTGATCATGTGGATGTCTCAAAGGCTGTTAAATGAGTGTTTGGATTGACCTCAAGGTTGTAGCTAAGCAAAATGCAACAGTTCATATTATGTGGTATTATAGTCTCCTCTAGTGTATATATTGATATACTATAGTGTATATGTTATAGTATTTTTTTTCTTACATGCATTAAAAGCAATGTAAGAAGCAATGTCCTCTAAAGCCTCTGCTGTGTTCCCATGCAAGAGATGCCCAACTGAGTAGAACTTGAGATTTGTKCTGTGAAGGACTTGAAACGCTGACGTCCCCTTCTTCTCCTTTTGCCCGTGACAGGTTCCGGGTGGTGGCCCGCAGCTTGGCCACCTTCCTCTTGGTGCAGATTCCTGCGGAGAACCAGGTCCGCCTGCGGGCAGGTCCAGAGCCGAAGCTGTCGCAGAAGGCCCAGCAGGTACCGTGGGCTGCCAACCTGAGCTCCCTGAGGATGGGGGCACTGCAGGTGCTGGGGCTTCAGGCTACCTCCTCATCTCAGCTTTTGAGTTCATTCAGCTCTAGATACCCTCTGTTTTGCTGGGTTTTGAGGGTTTTTTTTTTTTTCTGCTATGATTTTATTTTTATTTATTCYGCTACTGCTTTGCTTGCGGAACCAAACTCTGCATTTCAGAAATAGTTTGTTGCTCTCACTTGCCTCCTCGAGGGTAGGTGTGTTTCACAAATTCATGYAGCATTTGCTGTTCTTCAAAATACCACCTTGGAAGTTGCCAGATATGGAGCAACTGGTAGGTTGGCCTGGTGATGATGTGAGGTTTTAATGGACTTTGCTTTTGGATCCCACCTGATCTGCTGGTCTGAGGTCTGCTGTGGGCACTGGGTATGTATGTACCAATTCATTTCAAGTACGACATAAAAATGTAGTAGCTTGAAACCACTTCAAGTGGAATCTGGACTTCTGTGCTTTTACCTGGCCACTATCATGGGCTTTGGTTTTGTTCTGATGAGTGGTAACTTGTTGGATTGTGATGGGAGGATTGTGTATCTGAGCTCTAAGCTAAAGTGACCCTAAGTGACTCCAAGCAAACCTGTTCCCACAAACTTCTGCAGGAATATGAAGGTATTTTTTTCTAATCCTAGACTAAAAAAATAAAAATTATAGATTATTTTCTGTCCATAACCAAGTTCTGAAACTTTGGGACGTATCAAAAGGTAGAAGAAATTAAAAATAATGCTGTCATTGTTCTGCTTTTCAGGACTCTGTGTAGATCATAGTCACGCTAAGATAATATTCACACTGATATTTGCTTGCCTGAAAGACAGGGCTTAAGAGCCCTATGACAACTAAATATCCCTTTTCCAGTGTGTGYGCCATTGATGTTATTTCAGTAAGCAGCTGCATAAGAATAGGGAGGGAGTAGAGGACTAGAAATGCAAGCACAATAATTTACTTGGTAGAGCTTATTTCTGTACTCTGCAAAATAAACAAAATGTGTTTAGAATATATACCAATATCCATCACAGGTGGCAATGCTATCGTAATAGCTTTATTTCTAATGAAAATCCAAGATATCAGTARGACATTGCCATGTTTTGAGGTGTATTTTGATTTACCCTGAGACCATGTCTTTAGTGCATGACTTAGAGTATTTTGACATATATTTAAGTCATGGAGTCATAGCAAGCCTTGAAGAAYCTGTTGTGTTGATCTCAAAGGAACAACGCAGGATGTGTGAGGTGGCTTGCAGTGGCATTGTGTGATTGCCCAAATGCCGTGTTCGGAGTGCTCCGTGCTCTCGGGCAGACAAGGATCTTCCAGGGGGATGCTGCTCCCGGTGGCAGTGCCACTGCCTTGTCATCCGTGGCCCAAAGCCCACGCAGCTAACAGCGTTTTCCTTGTGTCCATAGGCACTGAATGCTCTTGAGTCTATGGCATCAAACAAACAGTACGTGGATTATCAAGAGCAGCTCTCCCAGGCTTCCCAGTTCATCAGGCATCCAGAGCACTGTCTTCGGGATGGCAATAACCTCTTGGCTCTCCTTGTTAACACTCTGTACCCAGAAGTGCATTACCTGGACAGCATACGGTAGCAGCCACGTCACGCAGCGGTGGATTGCTCTGGTTTACATTTGAAGCTGTTGTTGTTGCACAAGTAACTTTGACCCGCAGATTTCCACTTTAAATAAGCCAGGGGTGTGAGTGAGAGCTGCACCCTGACACATTTCATCCTTTCCTTTCTTTCAAGCACTTATGATCTGCAGGCCTGTGGAATCGTTCAGTTCTTACTGAACAGACTTGGTTATCCTCCTGTGCGTGGTACACATGAGCAGGGAGGGCACCTGAGAACAGACACCCAAATCATTAGGCAGCAAAGATCATCCTTGATTCTTGTAGCCTCTTAAGTTTTTGCTTTGTGCCTTTCCATTTTCCGATGTGTTGTCATGTGAGCCAGGGCAAGCTGGATCAGGGGTTGTCTGTGAAGGAGGTTTTGACCATCTTACCCAGGATACCTCTAAACCTTAAGTTATTGTGTCTTCGGAGACTTGCAGACTTGCATTTGGGAAGATGGTATTAAAAATATAAATTCTTTGCCCTCCCACAGAACTCTGTAGTTGAAAGGCATGTTTACAGTCATCTGTTTCTCCATATACAAACTAAAATTTGGGCTAAAGAAATGTGTTTTTTTTTTTTTTTCCCCCTTCCTATTTTCAAAACTTGGTGAGTTTGCTTCCATGTTGCTTAACTGAATGCAAGTCGTTTCTGGCCATGTTGTTTTGGAGTCAGATAAAGTGTAAAGGTAATTTTCAGGATTCCTCAGTGTGTGGGAGGGGAACAGGCAACTATGTTCATGTTAAATACTGGCTTAATTCTGAARGTCTAGTTGTTTAGAAGGTAGGGGTTTATCAAATGGGCACCTCTTGAATTTTATTCTTACAATCTTACCTGGGTGTGATGTGACGGGATTTGAGATGACACTGTGAAAAGCTATATATATCTTGTGTTAAATCTGGTGATTACTCGTTAAAACTCGATTGTGAAAGCATGAGCAATGAGCCTGCCTGTCGTTGCAGCGGAGAKACCACTGGTTTTGTTGCCTTGTCTGGTTGCAAGATGCCCCTTTCTTTAGGGAAAACAGAAGGTGAGTTTCTCAAGTTGCTCGCCTGACTTGGGCCATTTTGTCCCTGATCTGTTCCTGGGGTCCCAAGGTCCCAGTCTGTGCCCCTCTGCAAAGGAACAGCGACAGCTTTTCTGTGTTGTGCCTTTCTGTTTAGAACATGGTTACACATCAAAATTTAGTTTTGGCTACTAGAGGAAGGAAATGTGCTACCCTACTGTCTGTTCCATAGCACATCGCTGTGAAGGATTTGCACTTACTGTGATTTCTGTGCTGGAGAAGAAGCCACCTCTCTCCTCGACAGATCCTGCCAACTCTCCCAGCTGGGTCATCCGATCACCTTCATCTGGTCTTACAGTTCTTTGCTCTATCTGCGAGCCTACACATTTATGTACGTCCCTCTGTATATTAACCGAACATCAGTGCAGCATGGTTTCTAACAGACTCTTTTGGAAAAATTGCAACTGGAAGGAAGTTTTGCTGCTGCTTTTTTCCTTTTTCCCATAGACTGAAAAGTACTGGTTTTACTAGATTCGATGTTATTGGTTGATTGTGCAAGAAATGTGAAAYGGCCAGAAATATATGTATGACATGCACTTTTAAAATGGTATTGTTTCAGCTGTTGAGTTTTTACAAATGATGTATTTATAACATGCTCTGTCTGCAAAGACCATGCAAAATAAACTTGAAAATTCAAGTAATTCCTAATCAATCTGTGATGTTCTCAACTTGATGGAAGAGCCGCAACCAGGTAACACGTCTTTGTTCTTGGAAAGGAAAGTGTGGGGAAATGCCACACAGTTGATGGAGATTTAGGGAGTCTTCTCTTTGAAATACAGGAATTAAATCCTTGCTCTGCTTTTGTTCATTCTAGCTTGTACATGACACAACGGGAGAAAGCTCARCTATGAAATGGCAGAAATGATGCTTCTCTGTCAATCTTTTGGGGCTTCTTAGTGTCATTCTTTCCTCCTGTTTCCTGTAGTTACACTCTGAGGGTGCATGTACATCCCAACCTCAAAAAGCTGCCTGAGAAAAAACGCAGCGAGTAACATCTGATGGTACCTATTTGTCAYGCTGCCTGCAATGCAAGCCAGATGCTGACTTTGGAGTCATTACTGTTAGGTGAAATCTTGCTCTTTTTCTGTCTGCAGTGTTTTCAAGTCTCTACAAACCTGTTTTTTATATGACTGTCTATACAGCATGATGATTATTGCCTGTCCATGTTACTGCAGGAGCTGATGCTTGAAGTCCTCCAAAGGGCATGGTGTTGATGGGGTCTTGTTTTCCTGCTCTTCCTGCTGGTGGAAGCTCAGGACAACTGCAATTTTTCCTCAGAGAACTGCTCATTATGGTCTGCAGACAATTATTTGCTAGAATTGCTTGGTGAAGGTTATTTTCATTGAAGCTGCTCTTTTATACCTGATGTGCTGAAGAGTTGCACGTGCTCTCTCTATTTCTCTTAAATTGATCTCATTTTGCAGGGGTAGGGAGGAAGAATGCAAACCCACCTACTAACACCAAACATTTGTTCTTGTCCCAAAATCAAATCTTAAAACAGTATTTCCTGACAGAGGTAGGGAATTAACCTCATTGTGTTAAATGCTTAATAAGAGCTGGACAAAATACAACTGCTTTCCCTTAAAGTCAAGATCTTTGTCTAATCCTAACCTGCAGCACTGCTTTTTTGATACCTTGAGTGTGACTAGGTAATCTCAGGAGGAAAGCTAAGTTTTGTGTTGTGCTTATCATTGCAGCTCTCAGCAGATGATGATGAAATCTGAATAACAACTGCTTAATACAAATACACCTCTTGAATAATTTCTGGCTTTTAAGAGAGCGAATATATGTGGCTTTTGTGGTGTTTGTCTCTGCCAGTACTAACTGCAATGGAGTGAACTGTTAACCTGAGGATTGCAGCTTAAATATTTATTAGGAAAATAGGTGTCAGAGGGCAATGGATGTGACAGTTTAAAGTGGTATTAACTTAAGATGATGCAGTAGAGTGGAAAAATGGATGCCTGAACAGCAAGTGTGAAATACATGCATTGGTCTTTCCTGTGCACACACGTCCTCTGGAGCATCCCCCAGGGCCCATGGCATGGTGGTGATGGGCATTTGTGTCACCTGAGACCAGATACGGCACCTTTCCGGAGGCTCAACTGATAAATGGAGCAACAGCAAATCCTCCCAAGTCCTGACTATGGCCTATACATACATGTATATGGATAAACTGCAGGAAAAAGAGAAATTGGGTCACTTAACTGTTAGGCAAAGCAAAGTCAATGTGAGAAGGTCATTCATTTTTTTCCCCTTCATGTTCTTCTGAAATAGCCTCCGTGGCATCTTGTTGGGTATCCCAGTTCTTCCCATTTGCTGCACTGTTGTGTGCTGCACTCAAAGCCAAATAAGAAGTTGAAYGACGCTGATCTGTGAGTTTCCTCAGATTTGAATAACTGCAGATGTTGTGACACACTGGCACACTTGAGAGTGCAACATCCTAACATCACATCAGGTGATGTTTTTGTTTTATGTTTTTTGTCTCCACCYCTGCTAGGATTACAAACTGGACTTAAAAGCTGAGGTTAAATCATCTTCTTGCATCTCTTTTCCTTGTTATATTGGTCTGTTAACTTGTTACTGTTTACAGCTGTGTGCTCTCGTTTAACAGCACAGATGTTATGAAAAGGCAAAATTTAAGAGCTCTCAGTACCAACCCTTTGATGTCCAGAGTCTTGGTTTGTGGCATTTGGACTACAAGCCTCCCAGACTAGTTGACTTGCTTCGTCTTGGAGCATGGTCAAGGCTAAAATAGGGACGTTTTTGCAGATGAGAGAGGACTGATGAATACCAGTGTGATTTACACCATAGGGATGACCTGCACCCCATATTGTTGTGGGGATCACCCAAAAACACATCTGTAACAGTTGTGGTGAGATAGGTCTGGGATTACAGCTCGGAAGAGTTTAAGGGTTGGGGCTTAAAAGCATCTCTTCACGTAATAGATAAACCACTTAGAAATTACTTTAGTTAGAAAAAAACATGTTTAATTGTGAAGTGTTTTGAGATTTTCTGGGAGAAAACCAGTTATATTTCTTAGCACAGGTATCTCATAGAGTTTGTTTTGTTGCTCTGTTGCCGTGGCTGCTATGTGAAGGTCCTGAGATGGAGCTGGTGTGTGTGAGTGCACTTATGTACCAGTTGTGGTTGTACCAGTTGTAGTAGTAAGAGCTGTAAGTAAATCTACATTATAGATCACCTTTGAATTTCCTATTTCAGCTCTCAGCTTTCTGAATTTTTATTTTATTTAGTTCTGTTTTCATTTTGCTTGGACTCCTCGTGAAAGTTAAGACTTCTTTTAAAGTTTCAGATAAATTCTTCTAGAAGTTAAGGAATTAAAAAAGAAAATCACTACAGAAATTGTGAGTTTTTCTTCAGTCCTGATATTTTACAGAGCGGAATGGGCCTATTCCTGTCTCTAAGCTCTATGTATTTTTGGCTGGTTTAAAAGTAACTAGTTTTGAAGTAATTTGGGGAAAAGGTCTGTAGCAAAACAATGGGAGGAAATGGCAGACTCCCATCTACTTGCTGAACACTGTCTGATGTAGCTTGAAAACTACAGCTTGGCTGGATGTCTTCGGTAGATCCTGTTCTGCTCTTCCAGCTCCATCCTTCTCTATCCATCTTCCCTTTGATGGCTGCTCCTGCTCATAAGTCAATGGCCATCCATTCAGCTGTCAGCAGCAGTCTGGTATTTGGGGAGTCCTATCTTGGCACCTGGTGAGCAGGAGATGGAGCCACGTGCGTGGCAGAGACCTCAGCTACGTGTTGCCAGAGGCCCTTGCGTGGCCAGGGCCAACCTGTGCCTACGGTCCAGGTTCTCATAGGTGGAGTCCTGCGCCTGGGCCCTGGCAAAGAGAAGCACTTAAGGCCACGATGCATTTAGGGCTGTCTTAGTCTTTCTACATGGCTTTAGCTAATAGTGAAGGAACTTTGTAATACGTGGGGCCCTAATTCTCCTGGGTATGGATCCTCTCTTCTATAGCAGGTAATTTTTCAGTAGCTGGTTTATGACTAAYGTTTTGAGTCTCAAAGGATCCAGAAGGATCTGCAGCACTCTTGGTGTGAACTATTGCTGCTGTTTCAGGGGCTAAGGGTGGTCTCCCCCACTTTAGAAGTGGTATTAAGGATCTTCTAATGTATATGCAGAGCGTGGAGCATCTTGGCTAGTGCCTCCCAGCTTCTGCTCAAGTTGCTCATTCTCAGAGCAGCTCGTCCTCCCATGGATAGGGTCAGTTCTCACCTGTACCCAGGCTCAGGCCACAGTCTGTCACAGGGGGACCCTTGGCCAGCAGCCCAACCCTGTCTCTGCCCCAGGAACCTGCTGTCGGGCAAGAAGGCTGGCGCCAAGACCAAGGACAAGGGTGTTTCTCCCCTCAAGGACAAGGGTGTTTCTGTCCTTAGCCACCTCCAACTTCCTACGGGATGCCATGAATAGAAGGCAGGATGTTCTTACCGGGCCAGGCTGGTTGGGGTAGTGAAGGGACCTGTTAATCGAGAAGGAAGATGCAAGTCAGCAGCGTGGTCAGAGCGAGCTGCAGAGCTGCTCTTTACTACAGCGTGATTGTAACATGTCAGTGAATGGGAGGAAGGAAAGGTTAGTAGTTCTGTGGCTACCTTTCAGGAGGGTAGAAATTAGGCACCTGAATATGAGCAGCAAAGTATTTCTGGCTGTACTTATCCCTCCTATAGCTCGAGGGTTGCTATCGGGTTGTTTTTATACCAGTGGCATCACGTTTTCTCTGGCCAGAGCCCCAGATCTGGGGCCTCCTCCTGACCTGGTTCTCACTGCAGCCTAGCACGGCAGTTTTGCACTAGACTGGGTGCAGAAGTCAGGAGTTTGGGGGGTTCTGGCCTGTAGCTTTCCTCTCCAACCTTTGGGAAGGCTCTTGGTTCACTCTGGGAGCTATTTCTGATGTCTTGGAATTAAACGTTTCCCTGCCCTCATGTCCTTGACACCCTGGGGAATTGAGATTTCACTAATGATTATGAAGCACTCGGATGTTGAGGCCCTGGGGACTGAGACTGTGCAAGGAGGAACCTGACCCTGGGAGATGAAAGTGTTTTGAGGGGTGCAGTGGAGGTAAATCCTGCCCAAGGACTAGATGGAAAGAAGTGATAATTAGTCTACACACACGCACACGTGTAGTATACAGTATGTATATACATACGTGTGTGTGTTTGTATGTAGGCAGTGGCTTTTCAACTAATTGCACATGTTTTAATTCATTAACCTTTCTTCTCAGGCCTAGGGAAACTCCCGCCTACCCTGTCTTTTCCAGAAGACGACCGCGCTTTGTTGGGTTCTGACCAGGAGTTTCCTTTCACTTGCTCTTGGGCTTCCCCTTAGAGACACCACCTTCCTAATAGACACCACCTTCCTAAGGTGGAAAGCAATCACAAAAACGTCCTGCCTGATTCAGTCTGCTGACTTAGGGGTTGGAGAGAGGAAGACTACCCAAGGAGCGAGCGCGTGATACCTACCTCCTCTCCAGAACACAGTAACGCCCACGAGCAGCAGCAACACCAGCACTTTGATTCCCAAGGGCACGAGGATGAGCGCGAGGAAGAGGGAGCTGCCGGTCGCCTGGAAGGTGTAGAAGTAGAGGGCGCCCTCGGCCCTGCCGTGGCTGTTGAYGGCGGTGCAGGTGTACCGCCCGTGGCGCGGCAGGCGCTGCAGCTCCGCCGTGACGCGGCGGCCGCCGCCGGCCAGCGAGGCGCGCTGGCCGCCCAGGGGCCCGCTCCAGGCCAGCGCGGGCGCCGGCTCGCCCTCGGCCGTGCAGCGCGCCGCGAAGGAGCGCCCGCCCCGCGCGCTCACCGTGATGTTGGTGATCCGCGGGGCCGCTGCGCCGCGGCAGAGAGAGCGCGTTAGGCCTCACAGCTCCCTCCCRTGCAGGGCTTGGGCATCGGGGCCCTTAAATGTCACCAACATCTGCATTTCGCTTCCTTTCACCTCCCCCCACTCTTTTTTTTCCCTCCGTGGGGAGGTGCAACCTGTGTTGCGTCCTTGTCACTGCTTAGGCACATGACTGAGCTGTGGTCAACTTCAGCCCATGTCACTGTGGTGGCATAGGACGAGGCCCTGTGCTGCCTTCCGGGAAGAATGGCAGTTTTCTCTGTTTTTATCCTAAATTACAGCCTAGTAACAGCTGTGACACAGGCCTGATGAATTGTTGTCAGGACTCCAACTTCCTTCCCACCCTCAGGCATAGTCGATGTTTGCTGTTCACTTAATCTTTGTAGGGACCACCGAAAAGCTGGTTTAGCTCCCTGGTCACTTTGGGATAGCGTGTTAATACCAAGATAGGGCTGTTAATTGCATATCCTGAACTTTCAGGGTGTGAAATGGTGTGGCTGAATGAGCAGTGGTGAAGAACACATGAGGGMAGCAAAATATTTAGAGAGACACTGTTAAAAAATGTCAGAATTGGTCTAATTTCATGGACTTTTACATTCAGGTAGACTGTGGAGACAAATCTTGCTGCTCTTCTGCCCTGCTCCTGCCCTGCGTTAGGGGCACTTAGGAAAGCCAAGGCGCTGCTCTAGATGGAAGGAGAGCCTCAAATACCAGGCRTTTCTGAGAAGTAACTTAACTCATCCTTGTGCTTTGCCTGGACGCCTGCAGTGCACAACAGGTATTTTCCCTTCACAAAAATCATGCAACACATCATATGTGTCCTGTTATCATATGTGTCTCCTAGCGCTCTTTGCATCTGCGAGCACCCCCTCAGATAGAGCATTAGAGTTTTCCTGAGCTGAGCTCTTCTGAAATGTGGGTGCTGGGTGTGAATTGAGCAGCCTGAGGGCGAGCTGGCCCCGTGCAGACATGCGTGCGAGGGAAGGCAGCAGAGGGGCACGTGGAGCTCTATAATCTGCGCTGGAAATTCACTCCCTGCTCGCTCTGGGGGGCCCTGCCATGCYAAGCAGCTCGGAAAGAAGGTATTTTTTTCAGCTGGATTATCATCTGGAAAAGAACAAGGAGACCCGCTGCAGCAGTGAGTGCTCACGCTGCATGTCTGTACTGCAGAGCCCGTATGGGTTTCAGCAGGAGCAGTGTGATCCTGGCAGGGCTGGGGTGAAGCTTTGAAATGGAGATTTTGGCATGGAGCTGATGTGTTTCCCTCCCTCCCAGTCTGTTGAGGCTCCTCAGGAAGGAGCGACTAGTTGTGTGCCCATCCTGTCCTTCTAACAGCTATTGCAGTGGGTCCTAAACTCATGTGCGATTCAGATGTCCCTCCTCTAGCTTCTTTTTCCCGTCACCAAAGGAAGGGTGTTTTATCTCATGTGACTGTTGTCTCGCTGTCAGTCAAAGTCACTTTGCCTTGTCCCTGTTGCACCTGTGTTTTTTTGTAACGGGTCTCTAGCCGAGTTTGGAGAGGCTGGGACTAGGCTCTCTCCATGGGGACAACATTAAGTGCGTTTAGCTGCAGGTGCCCGAGGCAGCTTGAGATGCTGCTTTCACACACAGGCGAAGAGGGAAGCCCGGAGCTGACCCCTRCCCCAGGCATCCAGGCCTGGCTATTTACTTGTCACAGCTCCTGCTCTGCTTTGTTCCTTTTCCCCTCCTCGTGTTGTGCCTCTTGCCTCATTACTGGAAGGCTTTAGAAGGCAAAGTCTAAACCCAGCCCAATTGCTCTAACATGTCCCCCAGGGCTGACCAGCAGGAAAGCCAGCCTTTTGGAAGAGCATCTCGTGTTGTCACTGGCCTGTTTGGTCTTACTGATTTGCTCATCTTTTTGACTTTGCTATGGGGTGGGTTTGGCTCTTACCTATTATRTGGAGCTTTAACCCATTCCTGCTCTCGTATTTGTCATGCACATCTCCGGAGAGCTCCACTCGGCAGAAATACCTCTCGCTGTCGCTCCAGGTCAGGTTGTCGATCCTGATGGTGAGGTCCTTGTGCCGGGGGTTGCCAAGCAGCTTGTATTTGTTTTTGTAGCTGACTGCAGTCTTGCAGAGCTCGCCGGCGCCCGGAGCGATGCACTTGAACACGACCGTCCCGTTGTAAGGTTCCCTCACCCTCCAAATGGCCGTGAGGGGCCGGTCGATGGTTTTGTAGGGGTGCGTGAAGGTGCAGGGCAGAACAGCCGTCTTCCCAAACTCACCAGTAACGTCGGACGGGACCTGAATGGACCAACCGCTGTTCTGCAGACCTGGAAGCAGAAAGAGATGAGTTAAACGGGTTTACCTGGAGCGTTGCACTTCTGGGGAGGGCGTTTGGGATCCTTTTTGCTCTGTTCTTAGCTATAAAATGGGTGCTCTGTTGCCTTGATGGGCCCTGTGCTGACTGCTGTTGGTGCAGAGGGCTCGCAGGTCATTAACAGCCTACTTCTGTGCTTGGCTGCTGTGGTCTAAGGAGCTTGTTCCTCCGGCTTGTGTTGGAAGCAGCTTGTTGTCTGAGCCTATATCTTGCTTTTCAAGTGAAYGGTAGCAACTTAAGTTGTGGTAATACAGTCTTTTGCAGTCACCAGCTGTTTCTATTGAGCACTTGGAAGCCAGAAATTAAAAAAAAAAGAAAAAAAAAAAAGAAAATGGAGTATGTCCAGAAGTCCTGTGGTTGTAAGCAGTAAAATACAGTAAGTTAGCAGCCCTGTATTTGAGCCTCCAACAACATTCCTGTGTTGTAGGATTTGTTGTGCACGTTGGTTGTTGCAGTAATTTCTGGAGAAGGTTGTGATGTCTGATGTTTCTAATGCTCTCATCACACAGTGACATCTTATTTGCAAGGTATGAGAAGACTTAAATACTGACTCGAGAGCCTCATCAAGGCTGGTGTGAATAGGCAAGTTCCCTATTTCTCATCCCATGTGACATGTAAGAGGAAAGAGGCCTGTGTTACCAGAGCAGGTTATCGTCATATGGACTCCAGCTGCCAGTGACTTCTAACACGAGCCTTGTCCTTTTGTCCCAACGGGAATTTTTGAGTTTTCCAGACAGTATGTTGTGTAGAGTTGGAATTTTGCTCTCCAGGCCAAATCTGGCTACCGTGAATYGTAGCACTGTTGGGAAGTTGAACCTTGTTGCCCCCAGACTTGGTTTCACCATTTCCGTTTGATGACAGAAATAGCCTTCACTTGAATCAGTGCACTCCACCCTTAATGCAAATTTAGGGAAGACCCTGAATTTCTCATCCCACTTCCATCCACCAGTACCCACAAGCATTAACAAACAGCAACTGCAGGAAGCCCTCACTTTTCTACATAGATACGCGTATTTACTGGCAGTGTTGGTGGTTATAAGCAGCTGTTACACCACGCTGTGGCATYAGGAAGGGGTTTGGCTGCACTTGTGTTTTCTAAAGCTTCCTTGATGGCTTCATTAAATCAGCAACGTTCTCAGTAGYTGTGATGGGAGCGCTTGGGAAAAATGCAGTGGCCACCAGTAAATAATTGCTGCCCATCCCTGGCCTGGCTGACTTCCCTGTGGTTTGTGGCATTTAGCTGTCACGTTAATCGTTGCAAATATATTTGTAGATAAGGGCAATGCCTTATTCTTATATCTATGCTCCATAATATTTGGCAAATTCCTCTATGACCCTGCAGCTAGCATTAATTTACTGCATGCTTCACAGTGGATACAGGCCAGGATAGGACCAATTAAGTTATTTATCTGGAATTGGTGGCGAGCCAGTGTTTTAATCACTGAAATCTGGAGTGGGACAGCCTTGTCATTTGCTAAAACAATATAGTTGCCTTTTGCAGCCTGGACAGTCTAACCTGGCAGGCTACATGGTCATGGGAGCTCCATGAAGCTCATGGACTCTGCACACTAGGAATTGTCAGCAAATATGCAGAATGCTGTTGCTTTTCCAGGTTCTTTCATGTTCTTTATTCTGACGCTACAGAATTAGCTCTTCTCCCTATTGATCAGCTGTCTGACTTCTTTCGGATCTGCTGAATCCTGCTGTTGCCCTGAGGGTTTCTCTGATCAGAGGCAGACTTGGGAATGCAGGGCTGACATCTCGCTGTTCCCATTCCTGCCACTCTTGGCAGTGCGATGCGGTCAACAGTGGCTGCTTGACCATGGCCTGAATACTTCATTAGAGATCTCGAGTATGTCAGTGTAACCCTTCAGTTCTGGAGGGCTGCACATCGTGTACTTTTCAGTACATAATTTGCTTTCCTCTGTCACCTTTCTGGTCTGCATTTTTATTTGTATTTTTTTCTGCTTTATTTTAAGCAGAGCATTCTATTAGCATATAAACATCCCTTCGCCTGCCACATGAGAAATAATGTTAAAAATAATTGCTTCTAACGTCTTCAGCTCCATGCATTTCTGTAGAAACACTGTCTGCCTGAAGACCTCAAATTATGAGTGGAGGGAATTGTCAGCATCTAGTTGTAATTTCCTTGTCAAACTAAGGTTACATCCTTAAAGCTTTGACATGATAGGTCTGCCATGGCTTCCTTGTGCTGTTTATGCAGCCTCTGTTTGTCCCTTGGATTGAAGGCCTCATAAGGAACAGAAGCTCATGGGCACGTAGGAGAAGAGTAGGTATCAATCAACCCCTTCCAGGGGTTACAAAGCATGGCAGAACCATGACAGAAAGACCGTGGCAAGAAAGACCATGACAGAAAGACCATGGCAACCACAGAAAGAACAAGAGCTGGAGACCACCATGGGCACTGTTTGACAGTGTTCTTAACCAAATCCACATGATTTTAATGGAATTCAAGAATATTAACTTAAACATGAGCATAAATACTCATTGTATTGGGCAAACAATAGATTTTTAAGATTGCCTAGATTGTAAAATAATCCCTGGGAAGGTCAAGCAGCATTCCCGGATGATGGTCAAAATGCTGCACCCAACTGAAAGAAGAAAGTTAGATGAAGATGAATTCCCTCCACAATTTAAGAAAGGAAATAAACCAAAGACATCTCTGACAGTGGAGACAGACTTGAGGTTTTCCAGGATTGTCACAAGCATCTGTAATGWGGCTCCTTTTAAGCAGCATGATGGATTGGACAATTCTTAGAGAACTAGTTGTACCAGACAATTCCACTGGCACTTTGAGTAGAGCGAGAAGAAAAGCTGTTATTAGACAGGGAATTGTAGCAAGTTCAGAACTCACCCTTCTTGAAGATGCAAAGGAGGCACAGAAGAAAGAAACCAAACCTTTTCATGCTGCTTGACGTTCCCCACAGAGATGTATCAGCAAAGCAGAGCTGTCTCTGCTACGTCTGAGCCCCTGATCTCTCAGTCACAAAAGGTTTTTTCCAGGAATGGAAGAAGCTGTTTTTTTTTTTTTTTCCCTCTCTCCTTGGAGGGAATGAGTTGTCTGGCTGAGCCGGGACGGGATTCAGATATTAATAGTTTTGTGGTCAGTCATGTGCAAACTAGAAGGGAGGGAATCGAAGTGTTGCCACTTTCCAGCCGAAGGGGAGGAGCGGGAGGGGAGCAGGGCTGGGAACTCGGGCTCCATGTGTGTGGTGGGGCAAAAGGGACCGACTTCCAGGTGCTATGAAATGGTTCATCAGGAGGAGGTTCTGCTGAAGGAGGTCGGGCTCTCCTGGCTTTAGGCAGGTTGTCTTCTTACATCTGGACTCTGCAGGTCCGCTGTGSTTCCTTATTGCTGTCAAATGCCACCTCCTTTCGGGGTCCTTGGTGACCGCTGGGCCCCAGCTGTTGCTGTCTCGGATGGTTTTGGAAATGATGTGGGTACTTCTCATCAKGAGCATCTCTCCGTTCCCTGTTGTCAGTGAGAAACGTGTCCTGTAAGGCACAACGTGCTTTTGGAGTAAACTCTGCTGAGCTCTCTCTCTGTATCTGTGCTGTCCCGTGTTTATTCCAGTGGTTTTGGTCCTTGGGTTTTCTATTTCCAATCAAGGCTTCCAGAGGAAGTCTAGGAGATRCCTACTTTGTGTAAGACTGGGTGAGAACGGCTGTACCCTCCACCACTGCTTTCTGGAATACACATTTCTGGCCATCCACTGGACTCGCTGGATGCATTTGGTGCTAGATGTCATGTGGAGCCTCAGGCTGAGGTCCTGCCTGGTTCATAACTGGAGAACCAGAGCTAAAGACTTGGGTAGAAATGCAGCGACCCTACTTGTGGTGAGGCATGAAGCAGAACAACCACTGATGTCCTCCCCAACTCCAGTGCCTTTCTGCCGCTGGCAGGAATTACGTGTATCCCAAATACTTCAGCACCATGAATATCTTCTGTTCCACACCAGGGATAGGGTGCAGGCGCAGAGCCTGTGGTCGCTCTTGAGTGATACCTCATCTGCCCAGATTCTCATGACTCTGACAGGTCATGAGTCATTTTCCTCCTCGTTGTTGCCCTGCTTGGAAACGAGCGGAGCTCTGGCTTCTGCTCTGAATCCCTGTGCAAACTCGGGGTTCAGCCGTGGCAAACTTGGCTCTGCCGTTTGCTAACCTGGGCTTATGTCATGTTGCCCGTGCTCCCCCAGACTCTCCCCTTTAGTGATGCAGAGTTTAGTCTTGGAGTGTATATTCCTGCTCTGGGCTCAGCCTAAAGTTTTCCTGTTTTTCTTCCAGGCCTCCTCTCCTCTTGATCAGTGTAGGAACCCAGTTGCCCCTCTCCTCCTGAGGACCAGGGCGGCTGCTTCCCTGTGGTTCCTTGTCTGTGCAGCCACTGGAGGGCTCCCATGGCCAACATAACAGCTAAGGAAAAGCTGCTTAGTGACATGCCCGGCTTTCCCTGCGTCGGGAACTGCCTCCTTCCCGCCAGCCCCCGTGCCAGGGCTCCGCTTGGTGCCCTAACTGTGGGGAGACCCCTACAAATAACACATCCCAGGCTCAGCAGAGTTACCTGAGCATCCGAGCGGTGGAAACRGCGAGAGATCTGTGCTCATCCCAGCTCTGTTATCCACCTTTTCCGTCTAGCTTCCCCATTTTYCCATGCGTGCTGGGTTTAGTTTTTATCTGTTTGTGCTGCAGGTTTGTTGGGCTTGTGATTGCCTTTAAAGCATTGCAGCATTCTGAGCGCGGCGGGTCTCACTTGCTTAAGTGGAGTCTATGCATAAAGCACGTGGTATGGTGAGGCATAAAAGATCAATGGAAAGAATAGCTGCAGTTTGCAGTTAATATGTACTTTCCCTTTCTTAATGTCTTATTCTGGCATCTTCTAGGCTAATATCCAGTAAATCCTGCCCGTTCTGTAGGAGAAGCTGCATTTTCCTTAAAGGGATGCAAACTGCCATAATTCAGGATTTGATCCGGGGATGAAATGGTCAGGAAAAAATCCTGTTGCTTCCTAAAGCACTTGGATTACCGCCCATAAGAACTGCGTGGTGCTCACAAATGCTTGGACCAAGGCAATAAGCAATAAGCAGGTGTCAGGCCATTAACTGCAACGAAGGCAGCCTGGGAGCATGGAAGGCACCTGCAGGACAGAGTGGGCAAGAAGTTTCTCAGCTCTTGGGTGGGAAAAACATCCCGTCCTGCTAGTAGGGGTGCCCAGTGAAATGCAGAAGTATCAATTTTACGAATTTTGCAAACTTCTTGACTGATTTTCTTTTGAGACCATGAGATAGTTGTTAGTAATGAAATGTATTTCTCATACTTGAAAATACAGAGGTGAAAATCTTTAACTGAAAATGTTTGCAAAATGCTTGAAGCAGCCACAGCCTCTTTTTTAAAAATTGTCAGTGACAAATCCATAGAAATTGAGGGAAAGTTCCTTTTTGCTTAGACTTCTTTCTGAAAACCAATTTCCCCCACATCACACATACAGTTGCATTAAAAAGTCCTCTCTTGTTCCAAAATTATATACTCTTCTTGTAGACAACATATGGGTGATATATGCATTCAGACAGAGCGTTTCAAAACATGGCTTGGAAAACACCTGCTGGTCGGGAAGAGTTAATGCTTTGGGCAACTGGATGGTGCAATGCCTGTAGCAAGCGAATGTTGCATCCTGTGATGTAAATGAAGCCTTGTAGCCCAGCTGGAGATATTTGGGATGGGTTTTACTAGGCATTTGTCCGATGCTCAGGCCCCGATATGTGGCTTGTCCCTGCTCAGCTCACATTCCAGAGCGCCGTGYGCTCCCAGGAGTTGCGTCTTGTGCATCTAAATCTGAGCCCTGATTTCCAGCYGCTAATGGAGATACCAGAACTATGTTAATCTTTGATCTTTTCACTCCCCCTTGCAGACAAATTGCATTTGCCTTTTGCCATGCCAGGGTTCTGAGGCTTATTAAAAGCCCTGACAACACAGGRTAAACAAACACGAAACCGCCTCCGCTGAGCAGCGTTTTGCTTCCTCCTGGCTGACGGGTGTGCAGCTCAGCTGGACAACATGGAAAAGGGGAAGGATTTTTTCTTTTTTAATTTTTAAATTCTTTTTCCAAATAAAATTCTTCAAGTAATAGTCTGTGCTCCTGACTGTGGTATATACTTTCTCAGAGGCAGTGAGGTGCAGCAAAGGTGCCAATCTGAGGTAAAATGCAAATTAGTGTCTTGTTCTTCAGTCCTGTAAAACACAAGTTCTGGCAATTTTGCTGGGAGCAAGGAAGCTTAACTCCATTTTTTTTTTTTCATTTTCTTGCACTGTATCAGCAGGCTCATTTACCACGTTCCAGATAATTGCATGTGAGCAAATTCTCAGCAACTTGTCTGCAAGGCTTCCTTTCAGAGCATCATCTTGCTAAAGCAACCAGTTGAACATCTGGCACAAGTTGAGTATGGGCATGAAGGAATTTCCCTAGTCTTCTTCCATTGATTCATGTGATCCAGACTCTGGGTCATCTGTAATGACTTTTTCCTCTGCTCTTGTGCTGAGATAGTATCCAAAATTCTGGAGACAACTTCTGACCCAACAGCTGAAGAGGAAGCCTTCTATATTTGTCATATATTGTTTTTTTTTTCTTCATGATGCATCTTTCTAAGGACATAAGGAAGGACAACAATTGCTATAACACTTGGTTAATGTCTTTCCTCTGTGCTCGTACAGAAGCAATGATCACAGATCTGGTTCCAGAGATACCCGAGTGTCTGTGCTTCCTTGTGCTAGGATAGCATATAGAATTTAAAGAACTGAATTTTTGTGGGTTTTCTCACTCGGAAGATAGATGAATCCGTTTAAACAGAAAGAACCTGTAAATAAAATTAGATGAAGCTGTAAAAAAAAATGTAATGGCAAGGACAAATTTTCCGCAGTGGAAAGGGAGGGAACCTCAGACCTCACCCTGCCAGAGGTCTCTTTCCTAGTGTGCTCTTTGTCAGCTGCTGGGGGATATCTCCAGCTCCCATCACCTTTATGGCTCTCTGTTGTCCTGTAAATAGCAGCATTGGGGTTTTGAAGGACACTTAGAAGGTGGCACTGACTAATTCCCTTTAGCAAGCACCATCGTCGGACTTTGCTTCCTTGGTCTTTGTCCCGTCTGTCTTATCCTGAGTCCTGGTGGCACTGAGGAGGGTGAGAGATGTGTGGCCTCAGGAGCTCTGTGTCTGGGTGTTGCTTTGGCTGTGGTAACTACCATAAGGAGTTATATGCACACCATATAGCTTAGAATTTAAGATGACTGATACTGAGCATCCTGCTGCTGCTGTTAACCAGTGATACAACTTGATGAGTCTCCTGGATCCACCCATGTTGCTGCTGTCTATGAGGATGAACTGGCTCCATCTCAGGTCTCCCAGCTGCCTGGGAGCTTACAGCAGTGTTTTGTAAGGGATGGTTGGCAATCTTTGCTGGCAGAGCAGAAAACACAAGGAATTTCTTAGCGGATTGGCCCTTCCCTTCTGTGGTATCCCATGCTCCACATCWCCTGGCAGAGAGCAGCTTGTTCCATAACCCCCTGGATTTGCTGTGTGCTGCACACCTGACTAAATTGCTGCAATCTGTGTGTCTGCCTGGGCCCCGAGGGTAGTTGCCCCCCTCAAGTTGCCACATGCAGCTGGAGAAGGGCACGTTGGAGCTCCTGTTACTGAGGACCTGCGCAAAGAGGTTGTCCTCCATGCAGGGATGTCTGTGCGTTTGCTGACAATGCACTCCCTTATGCAAGGACCAGACTGGAGCTCTTTGTTCCCTCCCTCCGAGTCTTAATTCCAAGGTTTTCTACTTTAATTATTTCAGTGGCACGTCTAAGTCCTGCCCCTGTTCCTTTGAGGGTGCCRGTCTGCACATGTTCCACACAAAAGCCTTATGTTTTGTCAAATCTGGCACTCTTCCCTGAAGAGATTGGGCCTGCGAAGTAGCTGGGAGGTGAATCCAAGAGGCTGGTGGAATTTTCCCTCCGGCTGCTTTCTGCTAGCGGAGAGCCGGAGGGAAAACCACAGCAYGTGCAGTGCAAGGGAGGTACATGGGGGTGAGGGTGCAAAGGGGATGGGGCGCCCTGGCCGGGCAACGTTCCTGCAGGTGACACTGAGCCTAACACTCAGCACCGCCATGGGACGTGGTCRCTGCTGCACTGGGCTCTGGTCTGGAAACAGACTTGGTTGTTCATTTACGGCTCAGATTTCTTTTCATTCCCTTACAAAAAGGGGATACGGGCTCCTTTACTAGTGGGTTTCAAAGCTCTTCCTTGAGATAGGAGCTGCGCAGCCTACTCTGTAGGTTGGCCAGGGAAGCATGGATTGATTATGTCCATGACTGCAYGGGGTATCAGGAAGCAGGACCTGAACTTTCCCTTAATACAAAAGCCTTGGCCAGGGAAGCAATGGGACCAGTGCGTGGTCTGAGCTTGGGTCATGTCTGTCGTTTCATGTGG